TAATTTTTTAATTGGTATTAGTGATGTTTTTGCTAAAAATGGTCTTGCTGTTGTGAATGTCAGAATCAGTACATCTAGGTAAGTACCTCACTGCACATTACACAGGCATATGTAAGTCTCTTCAAATATTAGACATTAATGATTAATGACAACTCCCCAAGTTGAAATTTTCATAACCAATAAAATAAATTTTATTAACACTTTTGAGGGGAAAAAATGTGTATATTTAGGAGCCAACAGGTGACATGGTAGTTAAGGCACTGGACTGCCACATGGCCCACCATGGTTCAAGTCCCAGACCCAGTGACTTGAAAATCACATCAGGTGCATGTGCACGTGTGCCCAAAATTCAGAGAGGAGAATAGAGGAAAAGGGATTGCAGCAAGGCCATTTCCCTTGGAGGGTAATTTCTCACTTTCCCTCTTACTATTTCTCTGTCTCTTTCTCTTTCTCTCTGGAAGCACACACTCCCTATAGCAAAAAAACTAAAAAAAAATTTAAAATGTGTTTTTAAGTAAGACATGGAACATTATGTAGTAGAAATCTCCTGATCACCCCTGTGCCCTAAGTGCCACTCTCCTGTAACATGGGGCTCTCTCCCTCTGAGATAACTTCTACTCTGAATTTTAGGTTAATAATTCTCAAACTTTTCTTTTTTCATTTTTTCAGGGATTCTCCAGTTTTAGTGCATTAGACTCACTTGGAGGGCTTATTAAAACAGACCTCTGGACCCCACCTCCTAGTTTCTCATTTAGATCTGGGGTAGGACCTAAGAATTTGCATTTCTTGTAAGTTTCCAGGTGATCCTGATTCTGCCAGTCCCTGGACCACACCTTACCGTTTTATCTTACATTTTCTTGACTTTTCTATGGTGACTCTTAATCCTCTTGAGACTGTTTAGTTAACTCCCCTAAAACCTAGCCACTCAATAAATGTCTCTTTAGGACCTCGTCTTCTTCCTCCACTCCCATTTCCTCACACCCAATTTGTGAGTGCTCAATCTTTGTTAAGTATATTAATTGTGGCATTTGATCAATCTCCACTTTTTTTTTCTCTGTTGACTTTAATAGGCTTCTTCTTCTTTGTGTGTATTATTGTAAGTTAACCAAAAGGAAGAGTACAAGCAACACTTACATATCTTATTCATCTAGTCTATAAACTCCATGAAAACAGGAACCAAGTTTAATTTAAGCTCCTTGAAAGCAGGAAACAAGTTTAATTTCTCTGTAATCCACTTCCTCAGTTGGGCTTCAGGCCATGGTTTGCAAACTCAGAGGCTTATAAAGGCTAAAAGGCAAGATACTTAAGTGAAATTTGCCAGATGGAAACATATCCGGAAGCTATATCCTGTGTGAAAGGGCAGCTGCTACTTGGTTCTAAGCCAATTGCAGGCCCATTGTTCAAATTTTTTCTTTTTCAAGAGAGGCCGGAAAAAAATCCCAAATAATTCAGTATTTTAGTTATTTTGTTTCGTTTCGTCTTTTTCTATAGGGTGTGTACATTGCCAGAGAGAGAGAGAGAAAGGGAAAGTAAGAAATCACTCCCCACCCCCAGGGAATGGCCATGCAGCAATTCCTTCTCCTTCTGTCTCTCGGAATTTTTGGCTCACCTATGCACATACCCAGTGTGACTTTTCAAGCCCCTGCCACCTGATCTGGACCTCAAACCATGCAGCTGGCCATGTGGGATCCAGTACCTTAACCTCCATTTCCCCTGCTGACCCTAATTCAGCATTTTAACTACACAGGAATAGGCTATACAAAGTACATTTGCAAGAACCTAAACTAAATCCATTTCCTGTGTCAAGATCTTTACAGTTAAATGAATGGGTGGATGGGTGGATGGTGGCTGCATGAGTAACTCTGTGTGATTGTGGCAACTCTCTGGTTAAAACTGAGAAAGAGAACAAGCAATTATTGAGTATGCCTGGCCCTGTGCAAGAGTCTTCACAATATTTACTTCACTTGAATTTCATAACGACACACAAGATAGTTACAGTTGTCCCTTGGTATCCTTAGGGAATTAATTCCTGCCTCTCCTTTTCCTCTGCCCCTTTCACCACCCTGCAGATATCAAACTTAAGGTTGTTAAAGTCTTTTAATAAAATAATGTAGTATTTGCATGTAATTCACACATGCTCCCGTAGACTTTAAATAATCTCTAGATCATTTACAATACCTTATACAATGTAAGAATCAATTGAACAACTGGTCTCTCAGATATATTCAATGGAAGAATTCATCTCTGAATATTTGTACTAAAACATTCTAAAATCAGAAGTCAGAATATTATACTAGCTAACAGGAAACTGTTTTGATATATACAGGGAAAAGGGAATTGAAAGCATTATTTCCAGATTGAGCATGCCACTTCAGTTCAGCTAAATATGATATCACAATGAATTCTTGAAGGTCTTGCATTTTGCTTTGCATTTATTCCAGCAGGATTCAGTGTTTCGGGTATGCACTAAGAAGTGTTAAGAGGTAGCATGAATGGAAGTTGAGATCCTTACGGTTAACCTGAGCATGTGGGAAACCAAAGAGAAGCTGAATGTTCTTATAAATAAGCCATGCTTACTGTTTTATCTTACATTTTCTTGACTTTTCTATGGTGACTCTTAATCCTCTTGGGACTGTTTAGTTAACTCCCCTAAAACCTAGCCACTCAATAAATGTCTCTTTAGGACCTCGTCTTCTTCCTCCACTCCCATTTCCTCACACCCAATTTGTGAGTGCTCAATCTTTGTTAAGTATATTAATTGTGGCATTTGATCAATCTCCACTTTTTTTTTCTCTGTTGACTTTAATAGGCTTCTTCTTCTTTGTGTGTATTATTGTAAGTTAACCAAAAGGAAGAGTACAAGCAACACTTACATATCTTATTCATCTAGTCTATAAACTCCATGAAAACAGGAACCAAGTTTAATTTAAGCTCCTTGAAAGCAGGAAACAAGTTTAATTTCTCTGTAATCCACTTCCTCAGTTAGGCTTCAGGCCATGGTTTGCAAACTCAGAGGCTTATAAAGGCTAAAAGACAAGATACTTAAGTGAAATTTGCCAGATGGAAACATATCCGGAAGCTATATCCTGTGTGAAAGGGCAGCTGCTACTTGGTTCTAAGCCAATTGCAGGCCCATTGTTCAAATTTTTTCTTTTTCAAGAGAGGCCGGAAAAAAATCCCAAATAATTCAGTATTTTAGTTATTTTGTTTCGTTTCGTCTTTTTCTATAGGGTGTGTACATTGCCAGAGAGAGAGAGAGAAAGGGAAAGTAAGAAATCACTCCCCACCCCCAGGGGCTAAAAGGCAAGATACATAAGTGAAATTTGCCAGATGGAAACGTATCCGGAAGCTATATCCTGGGTGAAAGGGCAGCTGCTACTTGACTCCAAGCCAATTGCAGGCCCATTGTTCAGATTTTTTCTTTTTCAAGAGAGGCCGGGAAAAAAATCCCAAATAATTCAGCATTTTAGTTATTTTGTTTCATTTTGTCTTTTTGCTATAGGGTGTGTACATTGCCAGAGAGAGAGAGAGAAAGGGAAAGTAAGAAATCACTCCCCACCCCCAGGGGATGGCCATGCAGCAATTCCTTCTCCTTCTGTCTCTCGGAATTTTTGGCACACCTATGCACATACCCAGTGTGACTTTTCAAGCCCCTGCCACCTGATCTGGACCTCAAACCATGCAGCTGGCCATGTGGGATCCAGTACCTTAACCTCCATTTCCCCTGCTGACCCTAATTCAGCATTTTAACTACACAGGAATAGGCTATACAAAGTACATTTGCAAGAACCTAAACTAAATCCATTTCCTGTGTCAAGATCTTTACAGTTAAATGAATGGGTGGATGGGTGGGTGGTGGCTGCATGAGTAACTCTGTGTGATTGTGGCAACTCTCTGGTTAAAACTGAGAGAGTGGAGAGAACAAGCAATTATTGAGTATGCCTGGCCCTGTGCAAGAGTCTTCACAATATTTACTTCACTTGAATTTCATAACAACACACAAGATAGTTACAGTTGTTCGTTGGTATCCTTAGGGAATTAATTCCTGCCTCTCCTTTTCCTCTGCCCCTTTCACCACCCTGCAGATATCAAACTTAAGGTTGTTAAAGTCTTTTAATAAAATAATGTAGTATTTGCATGTAATTCACACATGCTCCCGTAGACTTTAAATAATCTCTAGATCATTTACAATACCTTATACAATGTAAGAATCAATTGAACAACTGGTCGCTCAGATATATTCAATGGAAGAATTCATCTCTGAATATTTGTACTAAAACATTCTAAAATCAGAAGTCAGAATATTATACTAGCTAACAGGAAACTGTTTTGATATATACAGGGAAAAGGGAATTGAAAGCATTATTTCCAGACTGAGCATGCCACTTCAGTTCAGCTAAATATGATATCACAACGAATTCTTCAAGGTCTTGCATTTTGCTTTGCATTTATTCCAGCAGGATTCAGTGTTTCGGGTATGCACTAAGAAGTGTTAAGAGGTAGCATGAATGGAAGTTGAGATCCTTACGGTTAACCTGAGCATGTGGGAAACCAAAGAGAAGCTGAATGTTCTTATAAATAAGCCATGAATTGGATTGAATGGTAGAACTAGGTTGAACTATGAGTGTAAAACAGATAGCAAATTTTGAGCAGAATGGTCACCAGCAGTTTCCAAATAACCAACAGCTAGTCGATGGATAGTATATACAGTATCAAAAGCCCTTATTTTCCTCTCTGGAAAATATCTTGATTTCTTGGAACATCGTACTAAGCAACTCACAACTTCATGCTGTCAAAGATATCAAGCAATAAGGAACTAAGACACAAGGGCGTCTGTTGCCATCCTGGAATGTCCTTCCTATTTCCTCTTGTATCCTTACCTATGGTCCTCTCACAGGTCAAGATTTCTACCTACCAGCCTTGGAGCCTATTTCACCGTAATTACTCGCTAGAATCCAGTAGAATAAAGACAGAGGCATAGAAGCGGGAGTTGTTTGGGTGGAAAACTTTTTATTGGAGTTACGGAAATAGACAAGAGTCATCACAGGCTGGGATCCAGATCCCTCTTCCAAGGGGAGTCAGCAGTGCTGTGTCTTGAATGGTCACTGGGCATCAGGAATTGCACTCCTCAGTCCTTTCAGCTAGAGGGAGAGAGAGTATGGTCAGGTTGGGGACCCCCAGGTGCTGGAGGCCCCCTAAGGAAGCCCAGTATAGGGTGGAGCACCAGTGGAAAGCAATTTATACCCTGGTCTAAGTTTCCATTCTCCACTAAATACAGTCGCCGAGACTTCCCTTAGATTTGGTGAGGAGAAGGTTTAGACTTTTTGTGCTCCTTTCTCTGTTTTCACTCTCCCCCCCATTCCCTCTACTGCTTCTCTCACCCCAAACCTACTGTTCCTCCTAATGTCCACCCCTGCTTACCTTAGGAAATGCATCCCAGTTGAGGAAAGGAAGTTTCTTTTTGATAGACTGAAAGAAATTTAAATAATAATAATAATAATAAAACAGGGCAGGGCAGGGCAGGATGGATCAGTAAGTACTTGCTCAATGAACTTCCGTTCAGTAGTGACAATGGTGTTAGTGTTTGATGATTACAGTAAGAGCTAATATTTCCTGAGGCCTTATTCTGTGTCTTATACTAACTGCTCTGCGGGCATGAGTTCATTTGGTCTTTACAGCAACCTTTTGAGGGTGGTACTGTCACCATCCCTCCCCCATACTCCAGATGAAGAAACTGAGGCTCAGAGAACCGAAGACATTCACATGAGGTCACAGAATAAGTGCAGAGTCATGGGAAGCAAGCTCTGTCACTGACTTAGCCTTCTAAGTTCAGGGGAGCCTCCGTTTCTTCAGGGGATGAGGGGAGTACAGTACAATCTAGATTATCTTTGTAGCCCTGCTCTCCCGTGGCCCTCTTAGGACAATGATATGCCATGACTGCCTCCTGGGGAAACTGTTCAGTTGACAACACCTTGAACAGCATCAAGACAGGGCAGTTACCACCTCCTAGAACTCAGGAGTGAGCCCAGAGAGCTAAAACTAGAAAATTCTGCCACTACCTTGGAAAGACTGCAAATGATCAAGGGGTGTAAGGGATGCCCAAGCTCTTACCTCAAAGAGGGCATGCCAGTTCAGGAATTCATCATTTTTAAAAGCCTGTGAAGAGAGAGAGGGACCCCAGAAGCAAGTCAGTCCCCGGAAGGACAGAGTTCAGCCCCCAGCTCTCTAGAAAAGGCAAAGGGACTGTGGCAGCTTTGCAAGCTCTCTGCCAAAGCATTACGAGTCTCCTCTGTAATGTGGATACGCGTGGGGGCCGCACCAGAGAATCGTACTCACAGATCGCAGCTTGTCGATGTTCAGCAGCTGACCATTAAAGGCCTAGGCAACAAAGCAGGGTGTAAGTTGCCAAGGAACATAGAGAGATAGGGGACAAATTCATGGCTGGAGTGGGAGAGAGAGCAGATTGTTTACCTCAGGTCCTGCTGCATAGTTACTGATGGTGGATTCTTCCTGGAAAGCGAGAGAGAGAAGAGGAAGCGAACAGTCACACAGTGGCAAGACTCTCTCTCACATCCCTCTCCACCAGTCTGCCTTCATCCACAGTCCAGTCCCCGAGAAGATCTAGCCCATTCTCCACCAGCAGCCTCAGAACGTTAACCCACTCTGTCCCGGTGATACACATGGTTGAGCAATAGAAGGATTGGATGCCCAGCGTGTAAGATCAGGCCTACATTCATATAGGCAGCAGGTAGAAAGGGTGGAGGAAAGAGGACTCCTCCCAAGAAAAACTAGCTAGTGTTGTTCTGCAGTTGACTTAATTTTAAGAGAGGCTGAGTTGAGGTGTTTCAGAGACACCCATGCTTAGCCCATATAGCTGGGTAGAGATGAGCATGCAGGTGGGGGCCAAGATGCTGAGGTGTCCTGCCTGCCTGTCAGCGGTTGAGGTGAGTTCCTTTTGGGACTACTGCCACCAGGGTTGGAGTCCATTCCCCTCCTCCACTTGGTAGCCCCCAGCCCTCAGTGCAGATCCCCTCTTGTCAATTTCTTTATTTCTTCCTCCCCCATGGCAGAGTTCACAGGCCCACAGCTCACGGGAGATTCAAATGTTCAGATCTCACAGCAGTTTGAATTGCTCATCTTTTCATTTGAATGAAACATTTTAAACAAGTAAGAATTCATAAATAAATCCAGATTTCCATAGTCTCCTGAAAATTGGAAAACTCTGTCCCATTGGGCACGTTTTCCCACTTAGTAGCAGTCATTGGAATAAAGACTACCCCCCTTTACACTGAATGAGTTTGCTTCACTTATACCCAAGGCCCCAACAGCCCCCCAGCTCACCCTCTCCACTTGCTTAGGTCCTCAACAATTGAATCTATGACCCCATCTTAGACTTTTAAATCCCAGAATGCCCATCTGTAGTGGGTCTCAAGATGTCTCTCTGACTGGGGAACTTGCTTTGACCTAAGGCTCCAGAGATAGTAGGGAGCCTCCTGTTATCTGGAAGCTGTCAACAGGGACACACAGGACCTGAAGATTAGGCTGAACCTGACAACCCACCTCACCCCCTGTCTTCTCCCAGGATTCAGTAAACTGGCCTCCACCCCATACTTCAGTATCCCTTCCAGAAAAATGAGCATCTAGGTCTCCAAGTTTCTTCCTAGGAATGCTCTGTTCCCTTATTACTTTCCTCCCATCCTCAGAGCCCTAGCTTCTCATTCAGCCACTGGATGGACGAAAGGTAAAGAAACTGAGGCGTACGTGGGTAACAGGTATAAGAACAAAAACCATGCAGGTGACGTGCTCACCTCGGAACCACCCAGGGCAGCCCCCTGGGCAGAGTGGAGTGCCAGAAGAGAGAGGAGAACCACAGCTGGAAGCACCGGGATCTTCATGGTGTCAAGTTTGGGGTGCTCTGAGGCGGGGCCTCACTGCTTGCCCTTTATATTCCCCAGGAGGCCAATGTGAACAGAAATGGGGTCCCCACCCCACTGACTCACCCCCAGATCCTGTCGCCCACCCCCGGGGCTCTGGGAGGGGGTGGCATGAACTGTTCTCCATTCACCTTGGATTTCTCAATCCACATTCTGCCCTGGGCACTTGGAAGGTAAGACCGCGATGGATCTCTTTATGCAATGGAAACGGGATGGAGACAGGTTGGACCTGTCCCTCCGAGGACTGGCAGTGGCGCCGAGCAGCCCCTCCTTTTGTCTTTGTCTCTTTTCCTTATATCCCTCTTTACTCGCTTGTAATTCAGGTTTGTTTATTTTTTTCCCTTTAATTTTCAGTATAAGGCATGTGCACTCATCAGAGTAAGACAGACAGAGAGAGAGAAAGTGAGAAATGACCCCTCCCCTCAGAGGGATGGCCATGCTGCAATCCCTTCTCCTTCATTCTCCTCTCGGGATTTTGGGCATGTACACACATGTGCCCGGCATGATTTTCAAGCTACCAAGTCTGAGACTTGAGCCACACAGACAGCCAGGTGGTTCCATGAATCCAGCCACCTTAACCTCCATGCCACCTGCTGGCTTTTTAATTTTTTTTTTAAATCCACCATACCAAATTCTGTCCAAACTCCTTAGACTGGCACCAAAGACCACTTTCTGGGCTCAAACTGCCTTTCTAACTTTTTCTCTTATTGCTCTTCTTTCGTACATACCTCATCTCTGGCCAAGCTGGCCTCTAGCCTATGTACCTTGCTTTTTCTCGCCTTCAAGTATCTGGCCATGCTATTTCTTCTTTCTTTTTTTTTTTAAGTAATTTTTTTCAAGTTTACTTACGATATTTCTTCCACGCGAAAAAGAAACAGAAACAGAGAGACAGGCAGCTCTGACAAAGTTTTTGCTTTGGTTTTTGTTTCGATTGTTGTCAGAGGATATGTGCACCAGAGAGAGAGAGAGAGAGAGCGCGCACAGGAGAAGCTCCCCAATAGGGCAGTGTCATGTCACAGTCCCTTTTCCGCCATTTCTTCATCCTCCCAGGATTTGGGGCGTGCATGCACATGCACCCAGTGTGTTTTACAAGCCATGGGGATGCGGGATTTGAACCATGGTTGGCTATGTGGGATTTGGCTCCCTTAACCATTAGGCTACCTTCCCCTCCCCCCAAAGAGGCTTCATGCTGAGATCTACTGCCAGCGTCAGTCAGCCTAGATCACGGGCATCTGCACTCCCAGCATGCTCAGGGAGGTCCCAGAACCTGAACCCAGGACGTTTTCTATGTGGATCCACTGCACCTGCCTGGTCTTATTCTTTATTTCTAAAATGCCTTTCTCTCATCTCCAGTTGTCAGAACCCCACATCCATCTTGGATGAAGCTTCCTTTTCTCTTTCCATCCCACATCCCCTGTCCCTTCAACCCTTCCCTTCTAACACATGTATACACACACACACACACACACACACACACACACACACACACACGTTTTCCTTCTCAGAATTGCTGTATCAATTCATTTGTGTCTTTCTAGCATTGTACCTGGAGTGACATGTTCTGCTCCTGTTCTCCTTGTGGAATATTAAGTTTCTTGAGGTCAGGAACTGAATCACCTTTGTGTCCCCCTAACACCATATCAACACAGAAACACGGGTGGAGCCCGTATTTGTTCAGATTAGTCTTCAAGCATCCTTCTGCCAGGTGGTATACTTTCCTCCCTTGGGGCTGGACCCCATCCATTATCCAGTTGCCCATCTTTTACTCGTGGGCCTTCAGAAATAGTACTGCCTTGAGCAGACAAGTAGAAAAACACAAAAAAAGCAAAACTATGTGTTGGAGATGCCCAGTTGGAGATGGGACCTAGGTATCCTGAACCCCGAGTGCCTATTCCATTTCATTGAGCTTCTCCGACCTTCTACCTCACCCCCCAAGCCCAGCTCAGGAGTTGGATCACCTCAAAGTAACAAAACATTCTAATCAAGCAACCTTCTCACAGTGAGGTTCGGGTGGCCCAACCAGTTCCCAGGGAGGTGCTAGGGCATGGACCGGTGCTGCCAGGCCAAAGCAAGACCTTATCTAAGAATCACTTGATGCAACGCACATTGGTGGCAGGCCTAGGGTGGGAGTCATAACCGATCTTCGTGAAACCCAGAAACTGGTCACTGCATTCATTCCTCATGCTGCTCCCTCTCCCTGCCCCAAACATCCTGCCCTTCTTCAGCCTCAAGAAGTCTCTCATGCTTCCTAATGGCACCGTTCCCCTTTGTGGAGCTACCTGCGAAGACAATGCTTGAGGAATACTCCATAAGTACAGGTGAACATGTGGCAATGGATGTGCCATGTGGCGATGGATGCCATGTGCCGTTGATGCTACTGGAGGGAACGAGTGAACAGATAACTGAGGTGGGTGGAGCATCTCCCAGAAAGTTTTCTGGAGGACACAAGTTTTTGTGTGCAATGAACAATTACTAATTAACAGTGGCTGATAGAGCTCATTAACCATTCAGTCAGCATAGGGTCAACTCCAGGAGTGGAAGGAATAAAGAATTAGATAAAGAATTAGAGCTGATATAAAATCACCTGTAATTAGACGTGCTCATGGAGAAATCCAATTTCAGCGTTGGCGATCCAAACACCATTTGGCTCTCCAGTCAAGCCTGTGGTTGCTCTTTTGCAACAGAGAGACCTCCCTGTGTTTTCCTCTCCACCTCCCAATGCTAATAATAACGTGAACCTGTTTATTGAGGAGTTACTATGTGGCAGGCATTGTGCTAAGCGCTCTAAGTGTATGATCTCACTGAAACATCATGGTGATTCTGTGCGATAAGTACTATAATTATCCACCTTCTCTAGGTGGGGGAACCATAGCATATAGAGGTCAAATAACTCACCCAAAGTCACATACACAGCGTGTGGTAGGACTGGCATGAGAATTGGGATTCCAAAGCCTGAATTGTGTCGTTCCTTTGCTGTATTGTAGAATAGTGTCCTACAAAGGCCTTAGCTGGCCTGTTTCGCACCCTGTGTAAATTAGACCTGCGACCAAGGAATGGGGGCAGACTGTATTTACCTCTCCCCACCAGCCTTTCGGGGAGCCTGAACAGCCCTAGATGGCAGCTCAGAGCATCTGCATTAATTTCAATGAATTAAACTGTACATTTTTTTTTTTTAGAAACTTTTGCAATAGGGCGCTTGCGCTCCAAAGAGAGCGCATGCAACAGAAAGCAAGAAATCGGGGGGGGGGGGGGATGGGCACCCTCGCGTCTCGGGGGAATGGCCACACCGCAGTCTCTTCTCTTTCATTCTTAAGATTTTGGACGCACATGCACATACATGTGCCGGTGTGAGTTTTAAGCCACTGGGTCCGGGACTCAAACCACAGTGGAATAAATGGGAGTCCAGTGATGTAATGATTGCACCATCTGTTGGTCCCATAAACTACACTCTTGACAAGATGGGAACAGAGGACTAAGAAGTTAATGGCACTCAGTGACCATATGCTCCAGAATGAATCTATAATTGTTTTGGTTTCCAGGTACTCTTAAAGTTTATCTGTTCATCTTTTTCATGGTGTTGGAGAGGAGAGAGGCTCCCAGCAGGGTCTTCATGTTGCCATCTACCCAACCTCAGCTGACGCAGATCATGGACACTCGTGCATGTGCCACTGGGAGGTCAGGGAGGTCCCAGGGTGCAAACCCAGGACATTTCTCATGCAGGTCAAGTTGTGCTACCACTGTGCCACCACCTGGCCTCAGGTACCTCTTTTAGCATAGTATCTTGCCGCACTGAGTATGTGTTTAAAGATAGTGTCCTAATTCTGATTTTAGTGTTTAAAGTTCTGATATTTAAAGGTAGGTCCTTTTAGTGTAATGCCCATAAACAATACTCATGAACCCAACCAAAGAAATTCTAATTTTTTTAGATTTTATTTATCCATTAACTTATTTTAATTTGACCAGAGAGAGATACACAGACAGAGAAAGAGAGAGAGGAAAAACAAGAAAGCAAGCCACCAGGTCCATGACTCGAACCATGGTCAGCCATGTGGGAGTGTCCAGCACCTTAACCACCACTCCACCTGCTGGGCCAACATTTCACATTTTAAAATGCAGGCCCATGATTGCTCCCATGGACATACCAGCTTTTATCCTTAAATGCTGTAATATTATAGGAGCTTAGGATAGCTGGGAGAGCTTGGAGATCACCACTAACAAGGCAGTCCCTTTCTTATTTTCCAGCTTTGTTGATATATATAACTGACAAAAATTATATATATATATATATATATTGGAGGAGTCCAACCCGGTGGGGCTCCAGGACCTGTCTGAGCCCCTTGACCTTTGAGCATCGCTTCCGGTCGGTTCAGTAAGTTGGCAAGGCCGCGACTGTACGCCCCCCGACCTTGGAACAAGCTTGGGTCACTTAGTATGTCGGCAAGGCCGCTTGCTATTCGCTCCGGGACTGTGATAGCCTTTCTGGGAAGTGACCCCCCCCCTCACACACGTTCCTTCTCTGAGACTACCAGTAAACTCCTGTTTCCCCACAGGCCTGTTTCTACCCCACCCCAAATCTGCCAGAACTTGAGTGTGGGTAGGAGGTAAGGCCCAGCCCTGATTGCTACATTATAAACACACCTACGGGCAGGGAGCTGGCCTCCTGGGTTTAGGGAGGGGAGGGGGGTTTTGAAGGGATGAACACTGGGTCTTTGAGACCTTGATGGAAAGCCTGGAATCTTGGAGAGAAGGGGGCTGAGGGATAATGGGCAACTACTCAGGGCAGCCCTGCCTCATCTATTCTTCTCTCTGCCAATGTTATCACACCCAAGAAAGCAGCCACATTGAGTAGCAGGTCCGTTCTCTTCCTTTGCCGCCCACCTGTCTGTTCTTTGCGTCAACTTCTACCAGGAAGACTTCCTTGATTGGTCCCACTTAATTCCAATCCTTCGTCCCATTCGCTAATCCAGTATTTCTTGGGTGGCCACATTGACTCTTGGTACAGGGAATTCAAGATGGGTGAAGTACATACCCTATCAAGCCTATGTTCCCATAGAGGAAACAGATCATTATCTAACAAAATAAATAAATAAGCCAGCAAGATAACTGTAGCAAATACGTGAAGAAAACAGGGTGATGGTGGAGACTAGGGGGAAGCCTTGGTTAGGATGGCTTAGAGGGGCATTGAGTTCAGACATGAAAGTGGTTGAAGGTGCTGGCCTTCCGAAGATCTTGGAATCCAGGGACAGGAGACAACAGGCAATGTACGCTGAGGTCCTTTTTCTGTAGGTCCAGGATGACTTTGGAGAGGGAAGCCAGAGCTAGATCACACAGAGGAAGGATAAGGAGTTGGGGTTTTATTCTGGGGCTAATGTAAAGTTGGCAGAGAATTATGAGCAGGGAGTCCTCCCTGGCTGTCATGGGAGAATGGATTATAAGGGAACAGATTGAAAGTTGGGACTTCAGGCCCCTTTTCTGGAGTGTACCTTGCGCAAGATCTCAGCCTCCTTCAGGTGTTACTTCAAACTGTAAAGGGCTGCTTTCAACCCTTTGAACCAGAGACGCCCCATGAGTCTAGAACTGCATTGACCATGTCCGCTTCGCGCTCACTCCTCCAGGACTTCCCAGATATTTCCCATCCTTTCCACTCCCTGTCCGGCAGCTAGCAGTAAGGATGCAGTGTCCTCTCTGGGACGGCTCCGCGATCTCCTCCCTGTGGCAGCAAAGAGGTACTGCAAGGCCCTCCCTACAGAGTTGAGCCCCGGAAGGTGAATGCAAACCCATGGCCATGATTTAAGGAGGGCAGAGCTAAGGAGTAGTCCTGAAATTTCTCCCTTCACATGAGTTTGATAAAGTTGATTTCCCCAACTTGTTTGGGCAGTTTAGAGTCAGCTTTTATTTATTCATCAACCTTTTGAGGCCTCATGCTAAATTGGGGATGGAACAGTGACCTAGGAAAACAGGGGTTGTACCCCGGACAACTTGCAGTCTGGGAGAGAGTCTCCTAGGCTGGCAGGGTGATTCTTGTCCTCCTTTTAGTTTCTGGTCCCCTGCAGGCCTGATCGGAGGATGCAGTGGGGCTCCCTAATCTGGGCATGCTTTTCCAGGTTGATGAGACTTAGAGCTCCTAACTGCAGACTCTGGCCCTGTCTCGATGACTCCTCAGTTTGTCATAAGCCTGGGCTCAGCTTGCTCCAAGCACCTCTGCCTGTTTCCAATGAATGGCCTTCCTCTTTCTGGATCCCAGAAGCACAGAGCGACTGCATAGGATGAGGAACTGGATATGACTTGTCTCCCTAGTGGCCTCAACCCTTCAACTGAACCTCACCCTCACCTATATTCAAGTTTATTTACACGGCTGACACATTTTCTCCTCTTTTTTAAAGTTTAATTTCTTTTTTCTAGGAGCGAGTGAGAGAAAGAGAAACAAAAATGAAGAGTTACCCTAACAGGGTCCTCATGTTGTGTCCACCCCAGCTTAAGCCAGCCCTGGGTCATGGGTGCACTTATACCACACACCCCACCACCGCCACCACCTGCCATATGTTCAGGAAGGTCTCTGGAAGCAAACCGGAGCCATTTCCTGTGGGTCAACCTTGCAGAGCATGGCCACCTGACCCCAGATACAGTCTACATCACCCCCTTACTCCTAGACACTTCCTGTTCCACACCCTGTAAGACTGATTTCCTCTCTTTGAACAGTCTCTTTACTCCCATCTCCTAATTTGGCTAGTTCCATTGTTACGTTTTCAGGCTACCCAAACACGTAGGACTGCTTCAAATGCAAAAAGCTTGGTATTTGGGTACGAGTTGGGCAAAGATGAGGGGGTCCAGTGAGGTCTTAGCTGTTGCTTGTCAGGAATAAAACCCAGGTCTTCTAACTCTCCCAGCCTACCACCCAGGAGGAAGGCAAATGGTCACTCTTCTATCCTCCTTAAACTGGATCAACATAAGAATACGATTTGAGAGAGTCTTAGGGAAACAAAATTTATGTTTTATTTCCACAGAGCAACACTAAAGTAGGAAGCTCCTCCTGAAGAACCGTCAGTGGTGTCCGGTCACAAAATGGAGGACGTGAAGCAAGTGGCTGGTTTATCCGCTGAGTCTGGTGGTCACAGAGTCACCACGGTGGAGTGGGAGGAAACAAGGAACAGACAAACCAGGCCCCCAACCTAGAAAATGGAGGTGTCAGCACCCAGACCAGGGCATCCCAGGAGCGAGAGCCAGGGGAAGGGCACAGTCAGGCTCCTTGACGACCAGTGTTTTTCAAGGCCTCGGTAATGATCGGAAGTAATTTTCTAGAAGAAAGGAGAAGTCAAATGATGGAAGATGGCCACTCCTCCATCAGTTGAAACCAGATATCTTTTCATCCAGTTCTGGGCTCTTACAGTTTCTTTGCGGTCCTACCTGGTTCACCTGCCATTCCCCTCACCTTTGCTCCTACCTACAACAAACTCTGGTGCTGCTAGGTCAATCTATTACTTCTTCCCTTCTGGACCTTCACTTGTCCTGCCCTGAAACTTACCAGCTGAAAGGTCCCTCTCCCTCCTGTACAATTCCCTGTATGATTTCCATCCCATTCTCAGTCCTAACAACACACCCTTCTCCTCAGAGAGCTGCCTGCATAGTCCCACCTCTGTCCGGCCCTTCAAACAACCCTCAGAGGATGCTTTCCAAGTGAGCTGGGTCATTTTCTTAGGAGTCTTTCTCCACACCCAGATGGGGTCTCCTCCTCCTCAATCCCTTCAGAGAATCCACCCAGAGCAAACCTGAATTAGTGTCGCTGCTGACTGAGGTCTCCGGAAATGCCACCATCCCAGCCCTGCTCCCAGGGGTGAGGGTGTCTCAGCTCCTGGAAGCAGCCGTGTGAGGCCCATCCCAACACTCACCTACCAAAACTTCACCCACTGGAGCAGGCCAGGTTGCACCCGGGAAGCCTGTAGGATGAGGAGACTGTCTGAGCAGACATCGCACTGTCCTCTCCACACCCTCCAGCCTTAGGCCCCTTCTCTCTCAAGCCAGATTTTCTTGAACCACATACTCACCGAAGAAGAAGGCGGCGTAACTCCTCCCTGCAAAGAGAAGATCAGAGGAAGTAAAACGGGGCTACAGTGACCTCTGTGTGCCCTGCTGCACTGCGCTTATGAAGGGCCCAGGGCAAGGCAAGCTCCAACCAGGGTTATCACCAGGGCCCTTCAGTCTGACTGTGGACATTCAATCTATTGGATATTTTTCACAGGAGATTTATCATCCTAGGTACCATTTATCCAATTTGATATTGAATATATCCGTGAGAACGCACTGACCAAGGGGAGTGAAAGAGGATAAGTCTCCCTCCTGCCTGCTACGGGGGTAGCATTGGCCCCAATAATCGGCATCGTGGACACCTACAGGTGCATCGACCGCATCTCCTGCTCCTTTCAGTCACCAAAAAGTTTCTGATCTCCTAGAAGATCCTCACCCCAAGGGCAGGAGCTTTAGTATTCTGCGAGATGGTGTTTTTTTTCTTTGCCAATCGAATAGTATTTAGTATATTCATTTACTAAAGTGTCATAAGATTGCTTTCTTTGCAACTGCATGAGAGGCAGTTCTCACGTATTTCTTCTTTTTATTTTCTTTGTGGAATGGAGCGTTCATTTTCCCACCAACCAAGAATCCCTGGGCTAGCTTCCCCTAAATACTGATTTGCTTTCCTCTTCTCCCCAAATGCACCCTTCCGGAAGAGGTGAGCAAAGACCAAACACTACAAAGAAAGCTTTGAGCGTCTTTTTTTCATGTCTTGTGATTTCAGTAGAGCCACACGTTGCTCTCGGATAGGAGACTGATTCCCAGTGTTCTCTATTGCATAGGAGGGGTCTTCAGAAAGTTCAGAGGACGTACATATACATATATACATATATGTGTGTGTGTGCGTGCACTAGATTTCAAAACTTCTTAATTACCAGAGAGTTCATGCACTCATCAGACAGAGAGACAGAGACAGAAAAAAGAAGAGAGGGAGAAAACCCCCCCCCCATGGGGCATGGTCACACCACAATCCCTTCTCCTCCATTTATCCATCCTGTTGGGATTTGAGGCATGAATGCATACATGCCAGCATGATTTTGATTTTGTGTGTGTGTGTGTGTGTGTGTGTGTTTGCTGTAGGGTGTGTGCCCTCACTAGAGAGACAGAAAGCAAGAAATCACCCATCAGGGTGATGGCCATGCCACAATCCCCTCTCTTCCATTCTCCTCTAGAAATTTTGGGCACACATGCGCACACACCCAGCGTTGTTTTAAGCTGCTAGGTCTGGGACTCAAACCGCAGTCGACTACATAGGAGTCTAGCAACATAACCATTACACCATTTGCTGGTCCCACCCAGCATGTTTTTCAAGTCACTGGGGTCAGGATTTGAACCATGTGGTCACCTATGTGGGATCTGGCTCTCTTAACCACCAGGCTGGGAGGCTGCACCAAAATAACGTCTTACTTTAAATCTATTTTCCATGAATATTTTGAAGCCCCCTCATATGATGCGGCTTCTGCTTCTCTCACCTTTCCTTGTTGGATGGGTGTGAAGAGGATTGGAACCTCCAGCCCTCTGTTCCAAACTGCTCTCAGGAAACCTGAGACTCCCTTACAGTGGGGAGGCCCAACTTTCAAAGTGAACAGGAGTCAGCCTCAGCTCACCAACACAGAGGACCCTGACAGTAACAACTCCTCTCCCCAATGCAGAGACCCCAGTGGGAAAACAGGGTAGTTGCAAGTCTTACCTTAGCAGGGGACTTGGATGGGTACTGCCCATAATAGGCAGTAGGATACACCTGCTGGTGATAATTGTTGTTCTGTGGAAGAAAGAGGTGGAGTGGTGGGAGGAGGAGGAGAAGGGATGAAGGCGTGTTGCTCTGGAATAAATGCTCCACCTCCCTGCCCTGGCAGGGCCTTTCTTGGAGCCCCTACCTTCTCCCCTTGCGTTATATATTCTCTTGTATAGTCCCTCCTCCAGCCAGCCAGCGCCCACACCCATGCCTCGCTACCTCTTCCCTCCATCAGTAGCTCTCTCAGCTCTTTTCAGTGCTCCTTGAGATAGAAGACCAAGGAAGGAAGTGAAATCTACGGTGGTCAGGGGGTCGCTAACTTACCTTAGACGTTGCAGCTGCCACCTCTTGCCATCCTGTGCCAGGCTGAGAAAAATAATGGAAGGGGGAGTAAAAGACAGAATTTCAGATTGACCAGACCCAGAATCAAGGCTGAGGGGCACCAAAGGCCTGCCAGGGGAGTCCGAGGGCAGAGACTGACCTGATTGGCACCACTTGCCCTCTTCTGTAGAGAGGAGGATTTATCTATCCCCTGAAAGGGAGGAAGGGTCCACAGTTAGTGCCTCTGTGATCATGCAGGCCTTGCCAGCCTTCCAGATCCCCAGCACCCTGCTGCCTAGGGGCTGCCCTCCCTTTGAAGCCCCAACATCTCACCTGCCCCACCCCACCCCTCTCACTAGTTGCTAATAAGCGCCACCTACAGAGAAGGCCATGAGCCTGGAGGAACCTGATGGCCCAGATAGATACAGGACACAGATTTCCACACTCAGCGTAGGGGACTGAGGGTAGAGAACCAGGTCTGGTAACCCCCACCCCCACCCTGCAGCTGCAGCCTTGGCAGCTCTGACCTGACACTGGGCTAGAACGACACTGGGCTTGGTGAACCCACTCAGGCTCCTCTGGAGCAGAACCAGGCCCCGTGGCCCAGCCCACCTGTGCCTACACCAAACCTGCCACTCCTCACAAACCCTGAAATCCCTGTACACTGTTCTCTACAGGGTCCTGGGAAGGATGTGCCGTTATCTACAGAAGCAAAGCCATTAGCTTACTTCGGGGTCAGAAGAGGGAAAGGAAGGGGAGAAATATGAGCTCACAGATGCCCCGTGCCACCCCCTTCTCCAAGGCAAGGGGGCAATTCTCAGCCTTGAGAAAGCAGTTCAGTCCCTGCCGTCAGCTCGGCTAGGGCTCTCCCAGCCCCCACCCCACACACAGCGTGGCAGTGAGTCCCGACTCTGGCTGAACTCTGCCCTCACACCTGACATGGAATCGTCCCCCCGCTATTAGCGTCAACACTGAGGTCGCACACTGGTTGTCCTTAGGCCTCCAGACTTTTTTTTTTTTTTTGCTTGGTCTGCATCTTTTTAAGTTATATTAGTTACAAATAACTAAAACTCAGATTTCTAGCTTTTCTTGAAAACTCAGCCGATAGAGCCACCCAAGTCCCACACCTGTGCTGGGTGGCCTTGACCTCCCCGTTTGCGTGGCCTTCTGTCTAGCTAACCTGTGAGGCCCATGTGGGTGTGTGAGTACACCCAGTCTTGCCTGGGAGCCCAAGGGTCCTGTTCCCCAAAGGCCACAAGCCATGCAGAATTGGCGCGTGGTCTGTCACAGAGGTCTTGCCCATCATCCCTGGGGCCCGGCTATTCGGACCCCCTGCACCTGCCTGTGCTGGATCTAACCTGACTCTCACACACTGCCCTCCCATTTTCATTCCTCTTTCCTCCCCAGGCCCCCCCTTCCCAGCACCTGAGAGTTGGCCCAGGTCCTCCCTGCTTCCCACGTCTTCCCCAACCTGCTCACCCTGCGGTACCCACCCAGCCGTGGCTGCCCTCGAGCCAGGCCAAGCCCAGCAGGAGCAGCAGCAGAGCAGAGGCAGTGGCTGTCTTCATGTTCCTGTGCCTGTGGCAGCCCCAAGCCTAGGCCTCAGCTTTTATCCCAGGGAGGACCTCCCACCCTGCACCTGCAGTGACTCACAGTTTCTCTCCCTCCCACCTCTCTCCCACTCAGGGTTGCATAAATCAAGGAAACTGGGAAGGCAGGGAGGTGTCTTCCTTCATCAGGGAGGGTAAGAAATCAGCTCAGATTCAGCAAGTGATTTGACAAGGGCCCTGAGCCCCGTGTCCCCAGGCCTGAGCTTCCTCACCCTGAAATGAGAAGTTCTGCCTCCCCCCTTACCTCGGTAATTTCTTTCCAGTTCAAGAAGGGAGTCTTATGTTTGAAATCCTGGAGGGAGAAGGAGAGGTGAGTGGGCCCTCGAGAGACAGAATTGAGAGGTGGTGTGGGGCAGCATGTCAGGGAGGTTTCCAGATGGTGTGTGGGGACCACTCCAGAGGTTGGCATGGGGTGGGCTGAGTTAAGGATGAGCACAGGGAAGACGGGGTCAGGGTGAGGGGGTTAGAATTGGACATGTATGCGAGGTTACCCATCTCAAAAATGAAAGGGGGCATTTTGTGACAGGCAGGCTGGAGCTGAGGGCGGCCGCCTCCAGGGAGATGTGGGGAGGGGACAGGAGGACCAAGATCCCCAGGTCTTCAGAAAGCCAGAGTTCTCCTACCTCCCAGAGACGGCTGAAGTAGAGGAGGGCCCGCGTGCTGGGGGGCGGGACTTGGCCCTGTGGAGGAAAGGTGGGGAGCAGGTTAGCTGGGAGCCGGTCGCCCGGCTCACCTAAGCCCCTGTTCTAGCTACTGCCGTTTCTCACCCTCTGATTCTCACTGTGACTAAGATCTGGGGGGGAAGCAGAGACACCGGAAATCTGTTTTTGCAAGCAGAGAGAGAGGCTAGACCTCTGGAGCAGTTAACCAACGCCCCCACCCAGCACAGTGTTCTCTACCCCACATCCCACCCCGGCAGATCCCGACTGTAGCAAAACCTCTGCACCTGCCCCCAGAGCTGTCACCCTGGTCCCTGCTGTGCCACCTCCAGCCCATCTCCCAAAACTGGGGGACTGAGGCCACCCTTGCCAATCCCCCCACGCCGAAGCAGTGGCGACGGAAGAAAGGAGCAGAGACCAGGAGTGTGGGGCAGCTAAGGTTTATTTCAAGGGCAAGGGTCAAGATTAGTGATGAGGGAGTTGTGTCTAAGAAGGGAAGGGGGGCTCCCATCCATCCGGTAGCTCCTTGACTGGAGGTCACTGGGTGCGAAAGCTCCTCTGGTCCTGGGCAAAGAAATAGGTTCTAAGAGGGAGCTTGCGGACTAGGAATTCAGGAGCCAAGGCAAGGGGAGACGGGACCCCTGCTCCGGAAATCTGCAGGGGCCTTTTGGCCCACCACTGCCATCCAGACAAATCTAGGTTTCCCAGCTTGGGCTTGAGACCCCCCCAGCTCACCAGGGGGATTACAGAGAGTTCACCTCTCCAAGTTTCTATGCTAACTGACATCCCCCCACAGTGAAAGGGACTAGGCGTCCCTCTCTTCTCTGCCCATCTCCAGCCTGCCTCTCTTTCTGGGAGACCTGCCCCTCTGGAAGCTGGCCCTTCTAAATCCTGTGTAACAGAACCAGCAGTTGGCCCAATGGCTATGTTGCTGAACTCCCACGTAGTCGACGGCAGTTAGAGTCCCAGACCCGGTGGCTTAAACTCACGCCAGGTAGCGTGTGCGTGCATGCCTAAGATCCCGAGAGGAGAATGGAGGAGAAGGGATTGTGGTGTGGCCATCCGCCCTGGGGGGTTATTTCTCGCTTTCTGTCTCTCAGTCTCTCTTTGTCTTTCTAGCCAGCGCATGCGCCCTGTAGCAAAAACCTCTCCTAAATAAATAAAGAAATCCTGTGTAACTGCGATCACTCCCTTTACTGCCTCCCATCCTCTAGATGGGCAAAAATATTCAGCTGGTCTGTCCTGGCCCTCTGAAAGGTGTCTGCACAGACCCTGGTCTCCTGTCAGGCCCAGAGTTCCTCGTGGGCCATGGTAAGAACTGCCCTTACCAGAAACCATTCTCTGTGAAGAGAACACATTCGCTCCTTCACACCAGCAGCCCACTGCCACAGGGGACTTTGCACTTTCTGGTCTTCCACTCTCCCACCTCATTCTCAAAAAGTCCAGCTTTGATTTTCCTGACGTTTGGGCTCTCCTGCCTCCCCACCTATGGCTGCCCCCCTTCTCCCACAAAGACCACAAGTTTTATAAAGGTAGGAATCCCAGTTTTCATTCATTTACATGAAAGGTCAGAGACCCAACTGCTCCCAGGGCCAGTCAGTGGCTGGGCTGACTGAGAAGGGCAGGGGCATCCTGACTGCTGATAGCAAGCATCAGAGGGCAAGATGCGGCGGCCGCTCAGCTCTGCCCTGCCATTGCCACACGGATGGGGGCCTGGTGTTGCAGGATTTGTCAAGAGAACTCAGAAAGCCAAACCATTATGTGAAATCTCTCAATTCTTTTGGCAACTAATTCATGTTCTTTAAAGAAAAGAAAGAAAGGAAGAAAAGGAAAAGAGGAGGTGAAGCCAGTGGTGTGGTGGTTAAGGCGGCTGGAGCCCACATGGCCAATTGTGCAATTCAAGTCCTAAACCCCATGGCTTGAAAAACACGCCGGGCGTGTGTGCATGCGTGCCCAAAGTCTCAAGAGGAGAAGAGAGGAGAACAGATTTCAGCATAGCTGTCCCCCCGCCCCCCTCCCCCGCCAGGGGTGCTTTCTTATTTTTCCTTTTTCTTTCTCTCTCTCCCTCCCTCCCTGGCAAACTCATTGCAACATACAATAGCAAAAATAAATAAATAAATAAATAAATAAATAAATAAATAAATAATTAAAACTAAAAAGCGACTCAGACACATCAGTGGGTCACTGACTACAGCAGCCATGTTGGGTGCCTTTTGGATTATTCGTCTGCCATCTGCCCATCCCTTCTCTTCCAGCCCAGCCCCCTCTACTGTGGAAGTGCATCTGCTGTGCTGGTGTCAAATCAGCCTGACTGGGGGCTCCCCTGTAGCAGGAGGGGTGACAAAGAGGAAGGACAGAGGGAGCCTGAGCTCCAACCATCTTCTCAGATGTCGTATGTACATTCGCTCAGATTAAATGCCGGCCGCCCACCGGCACTGGGCAAGTATCTGCTTCGTATTCCTTTTTGTGGCTGGGCATCTGTCAGTCCTCAGGTGGCCTTTCAGCCCCACCTGGCTCCTCACTCCATCTGCCCTTACGATCAAGCCTACTTACTCTCTTGACCGTCCAGATCTCGAAGGGGAAACTAAGGTTCAGAACCTGCTCAGGTCTGTATGCTGTGGCGTTCAAAAGGCCCATTCCCTCCACTTACCTGCATCTCCCAAATGTTTCCAAATATTCCCTCTTTGCGGGTCTCTGCTGTCCCCCCCTCCAGTTGGTTTTGGTTTTGTTTTTAGCCCCACTTTCTTGGTGGCCATCACCGTTGTTTTATCGGCTCACCAGGCAGAAGTTTCGCTTCCTTCTCTACATCTGTCTCCCACAAGGATCAGGACCGCACGGCCTTCCAGCCCTTACCTTCTCTATGGCATCCCAGTTAATGAAACCCATCTTGGATTTAAAATTCTGCAGAGAAAAAGAAAGAGAGAAAATTGGTCAAATTGGGTGCTAATAAAATTGGCTCAAGGCCTCAGGTCAGAGAGTCAAGGGTCACTGCGGACCACTGGTATAGAAAGGGCTTCAGCAGTGAGACCCAGGGACAGGGTCTGGTTCTCCAGGCAAGAGCGAGCAGAGTGATTCTGCAGAACTCACCTTCCAGAAATTATCAAAGTTGAAGATTCCAGGAATTGTCTGAGAGTTCTAAGGAACCAATGAGAAATGGGACAAGATGAAGAACACCCTTTATGAGGAACAGGCAAGACCAAGGGATACGGGCACCAGGAGAGGAGGGCAAGGGTTGCTTGATACCATGGCCCCAGCCCAAGGTGGAGTATGGCTCCACTCACCACAGAATTGATTCCACTGACAGCTTCACCTCTTCCACTATCCCCACCGGACCCTTGCCCCTAGGTGGGAAAAGGGGACTGATGTCTGAGGCTCAGGCTTCCTGTCATGCCTGGCAGCCATCAGCCTGTTCCTGCCCTCGCTCAAGCTTCCTCTCCTCTGTAAAACCACCTAAAATTCTTACCTCGGAGAACCTTCCCAGAATGACTTGCCACCGTGTAACCCCTCCCCTTCCCCGGAGTCATACTCATTGTCTTGCCTCCACTCTATCGCATCCCCCAAAGTATGTCGTCCCACTCTGCACCAAACACTGTTTTATCCTGCCTCAGCCCCAGGTGGGAAATGTCTCCATTTCACAGATGAGGAAACCGACACTCAGCAGCTCGCCTCAGGCTCTGTCTCCAAGGCCTGGCCTCTACACTGCCTTGGTCTGGTTATGATCCAGAATGCTCTACAGGAACTGCAGGGGGTGAGCATCTCCCAGTTTTACGGAAGGAGGCGCAGGCTCAGAGAACCTGGCTAGCCTGAAGGTGCACAGGTGACAAGCGCTCTGACTTTTGAGCCTGATCATGACACTCAAAGTTCCGTGACTTCCCACTTCCCAACAGTGCCTCCAGTTCTGTTTTCAAAGCCACCCCTGGGTCATTCTTCTGTTATTTGTATCTGTTTTTCTCTAAGCAAAGGTGATATGGTTCTGATCCCAATAGGGAGGAGAGAGTGAATAAATGAATCTAGAAGAGGTTGGGGATCTCAGGGCTACTGTTTTGGTGTCCCTCACAATTCAGAGCACCTTGCAAGAAAAAAAAAATCTCTATTTTTTGTTTCTTTTCCCAGCCTTTGGCATTCTATCCCCAAACCCTACCATCCCTCCTCCTCAAACCAACCCTGCCTGTCCTAGACTCACCTGCTGACTGCCTTGGGAACCTGTAAGGATGCGACCGCCCTCTCCACTTGTTTCCTAGAGAGACAGAACATGGAGAAGAGTTATGGGGAGGGAGGCGGGGGTTCCTGAGTCAGGGCACTGAGATGTGAACATGGCAGAGGACTTCCCAGGACCCCAGGAAGAGGACCTGCTCTCAAGGTAGGCCCCATCTTCCCTGGCAGATCTTATTTCAGCCACCTGGCGATGAGGCCACTGCTCACTTATGCTGTTGATGGGTAACATGGCCAGCCTTGTTCATATTCATTTCTGCAAGCTGACAAAATCCAGCAGGAAGGACCTCTGCACCTAAGCATCTGAATGCACCCTTGGTTCTGAGGCAGCAGCAAGCCAGCCTATTGGGGTGAATTGATTTAAACGGAGGAGCCATCTGGGCGGGTGTTTGACACTCAGGAAGAGGGTGCTAGCTGGAGCGTCTGTGGGAGCGAGGCAGCACAGGAGTGGACTGGCTACCCTCCTAAGTCAGAGGCTCCTCCGGGCTCCCACTTTCATTATTTGGTGTGAATCATGGTGAATCCTGGACCTGGCTGCACTTCCTCACTCCCCGAGCTAACGTAGGCCAGACCGGGATGTAAGACTACCCACTTGGCTACGATAGCTATGGCAGGTGGAGTTGACCTCCCTCCCACTGACCACTGACACGGTTGACTCTTGTGGCCCGTCCCCTTACCTTGACTTCACGAGTGCCACTGAAGCTTCCACTGGAGCCTCCTCTGGAGCCCTGAGGAACGAGACCGTGAAACATAAATCCTTGTTTTAGATCCTGAGCCACTGCCCCAAATTAATGTATTGATTTTAACTGATTCTTCTAAAACTCCTAATGGAATTATCTTTGGAACCTGCCAAAAATAACTTTGAAATTAATTTAGGACAAAGGCCTGGGGCCAGTAGGTGGCATAATGGTTAAGAAGCTAGACTCCCACATGATTGACCACAGTTTAAGTTGCGGACCTGGAGGCTTGAAATTTACACTGGGTGCATGTGTATGCATGCCCAAAATCCTGAGGGGAAAATGGAGAAGAGACTGCAGCATGGCCATCCCCCCTAGGGAGTGATGTCTCACTTTCTGTCTCCCTGTCTCTGTCTCTCTAGTGAGTACATGTGCCCTATAGCAAAAAATCTCTCTCAAAAAAAAAAAAAAAAAAAAAAAAAAAAAGGACAAGGACTAAGAATAGATAAGAGAGCCAGCAGGTGGTATGGTGGTTATGGTGCTAGATTGCTAGATTCCCACATGGCCAACTATGGTTCGCGTCCCAGAACTGGAGACTTAAAATTCATACCAGGAGCGTGTGTGTGTGTGTGTGTGTGTGTGTGCCCAAAATCCTAGGAAGAGAATGGAGGAGAAAGGATTGTATCGTGGCCATTTTCCCTGAGAGATGATTTCTCACTTTCCCTCTCACCGTCTCTCTTCATCAAATGCACATGCCCACTGCCAAAAATAAATAAATAAAAGATTAAGAAAACACTGGAAAAGAGAAATGGCAGGACTGGCCTTGTAGTCTAGTGGTTAAGGGAGCCAGATCCCACATGGCCAACTGCAGTTTGAATATCAGCTGCAGTAGCATGAAAAACCCACGTATGTGTGTCTTTGCCCCAGATCCCCAAAGGATGGAGAAACGGAAGAGAAGGGATTGCAATGTGACCCCCGTCATTGGGGGAGGGGGTGCTTTCTCCTTCTTGAGACTGCTATCTCTCCTTCTGTCTCTCTGATGAGCACATGCACCCTCTGGCATTTAAAAAAAAATTTTTTTTAAGTTAAGTGACAAGGGAGGACTTGTTCTAGTAGATATTAATGTACTTACTATAAAGCTATTATAAACAAGGCAGCACGGGGCCAGCCCGTAGTAGTTAAGGAGTTTGATTCCCCATAGCCAACCACATAGATCAAGTCCCAGATCCGATGGCATGAAAAACATACCGTGTGTGTGTGCCCCCAAAATTCCAAAAGGAGGGAGAAATGGAGAAGAAGGGATTGTGGCATGACCTTGCCCCATGAGGGAAGGTGATTCCTCCCTCTCCCTCTCTCTCTTTTGTCTCTCTCTGGCAAGCACATCCACCCTCTGACAAATTAAAAATTAATTACTTAAGCATTGTGGCACCTCTCCCAGAACAAATGGCTCTCTTTAACAAAATAGATCTCTCAGAAGCTCCCTTGAAATATGACGGTATTTACAAGCAGCATCTAAATTCGTTGTGAAAATGATTCAGTACATGGGACTGGGACTACCAGACAAGTACTTAGGGAAATGTATTAGTTATTCCTGATCAGTTTCCTCCTGTCTGTTTTTAAGTAGTTTCCCCTCATAAAAGTATCGGACAAGCCTGATTAGATCGAGGAGTGGGACTAGATCATATATGGCAAAGTAAGGTCCACATGGGTTAAAGAATTAAATGGAAAAAGTGGAATTCTAGAGCCGTTTTGCTAGAAGAAAATAAAGACTCTTAAAGCAATACACTGAGAGGAAAAACCATAGAGTAAAAGGTTGATATTTTTGACTACCTACCTACCTCAGACTTTGGTATATGAAAAGCTAGAAACAGAGTTACATACTGGGACGAATTGTCTTGGAACCTGCAAAAGGTCTGTATCCCTCATCTGAGAGCCAGCTCAGTTTAGCCCCGCCAGCCACCCCGCCGCCTCTCCTCCCACCAGTGCGCGGACCAGCGGTGTCAGGAGCTTGTTCCACACAGGCTCTCAGCCCCGCCCCAGATCTTCTGAGTCAGCGCCAGCATTTGCACAAGAGCTCCAGGTGATCTGTGGGGACAGGAACCTGACACTTTGTCAGCGTGACAGGTGCTGACATAAAGCCCAGACTTTCAGAAGAGCTGGTGGGAACTGGACTTTCCAAAACACATTCTCTGCCAGAGTTCACCAAATCCTAGTCCCCAGCCGGGTTTAGAACTTTGGAAACAGTGACTGGTTTACGTGGGATTTCTCACAGCCCCGTTTCCGGTGTAAAGTGAGGTCCGGCACATAAAGATTTGCAACGAATCGCTCCTTTGGAGATGGGAGTTTTAGCAGTATGCGTTCGCTTTCTTCCCACATTGTCAGAGTCCCCAGATGTGGCCGGGTAGAGGGGAGCGGGAGGACCAGGCTGGGCGGAGCAGAGCGGGTTACAGGGCGCGGGCACAGTCTCACGGCGAGCCACCGCCACCTCCCCCGTGTGGCTCTCACCTGACCCCCAGATCCTCCAGACACGCGGACTTCATTGTCTGGGTTTTCACACTGTGGGAGAGACAAGGGCCAGACATTCTCTCAGTCATTCCCCCCGCTGCAAGTCACCAACTTCAGCTCCTGGGCAGCAGGAGTCCTGCCCCGAAATTCTCCCGCAGCCAAGGCGAGGGGCCCAACCTCCTCTTCCTTTCCTTCCCTCCCGTTAGAGGGAAGCTCAGCAGCCACTCACCTCGGGCTTGTTTCCACCACCGTTGCCCCCGCTGTTGCCTGAGGAGGAGCTGCCTCTGGATCCCTGCAAGAGAAAGCAAGAGTTCAGACGCCACCCTCCTGGGTTTTTTTTTTTTTTTTTTTTTTTTGGGACCCGTGTTTTTTTTTTTTTTTTTTTTTTTTTTTGGAGAGGTTTTTCGCTATAGGGCGCAGACAGAGACATAGAGACAGAAAGCGAGAAATCACCCCCCAGGGGGGATGGCCACACCGCAATCCCTTCTCCTCTATTCTCCTTTCGGGATCTTGGGCACGCACCCGGCGTGAGTTTTAAGCCACCGGGTCCGGGACTTGAACCGCGGTTGACTATGTGGGAGTCCAGCGACATAGCCATCACGCTAACTGCTGGTTCCCCAGACGCCGCCCTCTTAAAGGGGCTCACAAAAGGACCTGGTCCTCCCAGAGGCATAATGGAGCTTCAGTAACCCCTGATCAGAGTCTGACCCTCTGTCCAGCCTCCATGTGTCCCCTGTCCTTAGCCAGCTGATCACCCAGAGAAGTTATTCTGAGTGCAGGGACAGCAAGGTGTGGCGGAGTGCTTGGAAGTGTGCACCCATGGGGGGAATCTGAGCTGTCCCACCCCTGCCACCAGGGAGCAGACTGCGGCTTCTCCTCGCAGACCCCCAGCCATCCACCCCGACTCTCACCCACACCCTCTCCTAGAATGTAAGAAGCAGAAGGGACCCTAGAGGTTTTAATTTATTTCTTTATCTCTTTATTTCTTTTTATTTTACCAGAGAGGAACAGAGAGAGAAAAGGAAAGTGAGAAAGCAAGCCACCAGGTCCAGAACTGGAACCATGGTTGGCCCTATGGAAGTCCAACACCCTTAACCTCCACGCCAGAGAGTTCTAACCTGGGAGACTGAGTAGCCTTCATCAAAAGGCCTAGCATTTCCGGAAGACTGGTCCTGGATGGGGTGGGGGAGAGGTTAGTAAAGGAACAGTGAGCTAAAGCAGCCCTGTCACTTGGTGTGTCCTAACCACAGGCCCTCTTGCCTGAGGCCTTTCCCCAGCCCCTACAGAAGCCAGATGTGGCTCCGCTCTCCAGGTCCCCTCTCTACCCTCGCGCTACCCGAAGGCAGCTACAGGGTCGCACCTCCCCTGCTGGCCCTGTCCGGGCACTGTCACCATCACAGCTCTGTAAATGACCCTCTAGTCTCCACGTGCGCGGTCCTGTCACGCTCTGGAAGCATCCCAAACAAGTGTCTACTCTGTGCCCACTTCCCTCCTTTCCCCGGCCACCCCCTCCCCGACTCTCCTCAGCCCCGCCAGGTGGACACAACTGCAGGGATCAGTAGAGACGGGTAGAGCCTCCGCGCTGTCACGGACAGAGTGAGCAGGCAGGCAGGCACCTCGCACAGGAAATCACCAGTGTGCGTGTGAGGAGCCGGCTCGCCAGGGGCTGGGAAGGCGCGGCGGAGGCCAAGGGGGCCTGCATGACCACGGTCGGCCATGCCGCCCACCCCAGGGCTGCAGCTTCCTGGGGAACCTGGGAGTCTGTCTCCTCAGCAGGACCACCAGGAGCCCCCTCATCTCTGCCTTCAGCAAAGGAGCAAAACTCACCGAGTTGGCCCCAGAATTGCTGCCACTGCCGCTGCCGCCACCGTTGCCACTGCTGCTGCCGCCACTGCCACCATTACTGCCTCCCGACTGTGAGCCGCTGCTGCCCGACTGGAGGGGCAGGAAGAGACAGAGCAAGGATGAAAGGCAGGAACACCAGGATTGCTTCCTCCTCCCTTCCTCTCTTCCCGGGACACGTCCCCTGCCCACTCCATCCCTCCCCCACCCCCAGCCTGCAGAATGCCACAGGCCACCCTCTCCTCTTACCCCAGAGCTGCGGGTGGCGGGTTGGTGCACTGCGGGAGGAAGGGCACCACTGAGGGGGCGCTTTCCATCAAGCCACTTCCACCAGCCCGGCCTCTCCCGTGTGCCTCTCATCACTTTCTCACGTCCTTCCCTGTTCCTAGCCTCCTCCCAAGGCCCAAGTCTTCCCACCCCTGCTGAGCCCGGTCCCTGCCCTCCCCAGCTTTCTTGCCTCGTGTCCCTCCTTGACTTCTCTCACATGCCCCGATGCCCGTGTGGTCCCAGACCCTTCCCCTTACCTCTGTGTTTCCGTTGCTGCCTCGCACTGAGCCATAACCAGGCTGGGCCACAGCTCCCTGCAGGGAGGGCGAGACTGCGTATGGGATCCCAACGGATGAGGAGGGTGAGCAGAGTGTGGGCTTGAAGGGAGGGAGGCGGTGGGGATCAGGCTGAGGTGGTTACTTTACCTGAGCGTTGGGCCCGAAGTTGGGGGACCCGCCATTGCCTCCTTGAACCGAGAAGCCTCCCTGAGAGTTGGTGCCCAAGCTGGCTGCG